TTTCATGTATTTACAAAGCAGCATCGCTATTCCTGAGGTTTTACCTGTCTGACTTTTGTAACACTTCTCTAAGTTTCCCCCTCGAGCTCGTTCAACCCAATTTTATTTACCAAAATGTTACTGGCAGCGTGGTTAATCACTTCGCCACTCCTGAGCTGTACTGACTATGGTTGCAAATTCGTTCTGATTTCCTGGTAATTCAGTAACGAAACCAAACTCTCCAATGTACTGGATAAAGCGTTAAGTTATATTTTGGATTCAGATTCATTGAGAGATTTTCTTTAAAACCTTCTCTGTCCCTCTTCTCTCACCAGCTCTTTTAGTAAAGCTTGCTGATTCCCGCAGCATCCCCGTTAAATCTCAGTTGAATTTTGAATAGTTTCCTTCGTTCATTTTGTAAGGAAACTAAGTTAACAGTCAGTAATGAATTGTTGTGTAGATGTGAGCTGTAAGCTATTCCTCAGAAGTTATTTCGGTATGAACAGTTTAATTAATGCTGTGTTTTTTTCTTTTCCCACAGTATTTGACGTAAGTACACTTGAAGTTGTCGCCTTGCCAGTTACTAATTTTATTCGCTTTCTCGAGCTATAATTAACGGAATCACTGATCACACGGTTCTTGTCTGACCTCAAAATGCAGACTCTGCACTCAGTGTTGGTTTCAATGAATCCTCAGTTTTGAGAAGATAGGTCATAAACTGATTTGGAGAGACACAATGTCTACTCAAGAATGTACTTGTCTAGCACAGTTTCACTTTTTAAGTTGCCGGTTTTCTGTATGATGAAACTTCAGAGTGCGTTCGTGTGAAAGAGAGATTGAGGTTTAATGACGTACTGTATACATTACGTGATGGGAATTTCAACAAGAAGCAATAAAAGCGAAAGAAATTGCATTGTGTCGGTCCAGGCTCATCTATAATTCAAGCCGTTGGCTTCTGCAGGCTCTCAAATCTCGCTGAATTGTTGTTTATAAAAGAGGCGAAGCAGAAAAAGAAACAGCATTGTGTAAAAAAACGTAAACATTTTGGAAATAACATGAATTACGTCTGAAATCCTAGCTTCTCCCCTGGTGGGCCGTGGCGAAATATTACAAATTCAAAATGCGGTTTCAGCCAGGTTATCTTGAAGGACAAAAACCATCAAACATTTATAACTTTTCAGTGATTCACCAGCTAGTCATAAACAAGACAGGCCTACGAATAGTTACGGCAATTTTGTCGAGATATAATCTCCAATATTATCAAAAGTGCACATTTATTATTTATTAGGAAGAGAAAGTAAAAATATTTTCGGAAATGTTTTGAAGGTTAAACGATTTGTTCTGTGTTCTGAAAGTGGTTGTTCCCTTAACAGTGGCGATATATGTAGACGGATAGGCGCCTAAGAATTTGCTCGAAAGATGAACATCAACATTGCCAAGAAACTGCAAGTTCTTCACACATTATTCAGGTATGAAAGTTAGTCTATTGAGTATCATGATATTATATCTGCCTAGAAAATTTGACCGGCTAGAGTGAGTTTTGACAGCTTTTACTTAAACGTATTTCAACCAGAAACTTCCCGAGTGAGTAGCCTTGTCCCTTCACGATGAACTTCTACTAATTTTTAAATGTAACGTCGCGATATCAATATTTTAGCCCGCAACTCGAAGATGATTTGAATTCCTCTTAGTGAGAACATTGTTTTCTGGAGTTTTTAATCGTTGAACACATTATTGTTACTTTCAATAAGTTATATAGTTGGTTTCACAGTAATTGTGATGTAGTGTAACGTACAAATTGATACATGTGGCCCGCACGAACAATTGCGTGACGGGCTCTTGAGGATTTTGCCTTAGGGGGTTTGAGGGAAGAAAGCGCCCGATCGGCGGATGAGTTATAAAAATGTCTTAAAATTAGATCCAAACTGGCTTAAAGTCAAAACAATTTCCCATCGTGAAAATTTCACACAGTTTTTGTGTTCCAGTTCAACTGGGGGAACCTGAAATTTGGGTTCAATCAGAGGGTCAAAATTATCTTGTTGTTTATGTACCTACGTGGGTGGTCTGGCCCATTGTTTTGCCGTCAGTCCCTTCGTAACAGCTGTATACATTTTGATGAAATCACACAAAGTGTATTTATTCAGTTTCAAATTATTGGCATCAATGCAACTGCAATCGACCCTCGTGTTAGTGGAAAGAAACTGCTACTACTTATTTTGTTTACTAAGCGAGATGAGACTGCTTTTTGGTCAGTGGAACTGACGTTTGGAAACTCACAGTGTTCTGTGCAAGTGAGTTATCTACAAAGCCAGGTTGTCTTTCGTTTCCCTAAAACATATGGAACGAAACACGACACGGTGTATAAAATTCATCAAATGTGAAGTTTTTTTTATCTGTATCAAAAAAATAAAAATGATAATAGTAGTTAATTTTCACTCAAGCAAAACACTTTGGCTGCACACAATGCGGTGAATGGGCGTTTTGTTACATATTGCTATTTTCTACCCATAATTAAAGAAGCGAATATGAGCAAGACATTTCAAAAGCAAGATAACAAAAAATTAACTACATTTTAGCATTTTGTAACAGCTAAAAAACGAAGAAAATAATTTTTATCGACACAAATTCACTGAACATAGACGAAAAATTGAAACCGGGCATGTTTAGCTACCCAGCTTCGATCGAAGGCTTCATTTTTTGATGATCAAATATCTGTAGATAATATGTTTATGCTGCATTGCAATCTTCCGATAGCCTCTACCGAGGCATGATTGCTGTGGTCCAATGAACTTTTCGAAGTAAGGATAAGAGCAGGTACAAATTTGTAGAAGATGACTTCAAACACCACTCCACCCTTGCCTGTCTCTGGTGGCAAAAGTTACGTCATCACCCAGTTCTGGAATGTGTTGCGCAAGCGCGGGTCCAAACTTCGAAACAACAACATGTTGAAGCGCGGAGAGGGATGGGGAGAAAACATCGCCAATTTTAACATTTATCCTGAGACATAATGTCTGGTTTGGTAAAGAACCAAATCGCGAAGCAACTGGCGAGGTATTGAAGTGTTATATTGAGCCAACAGGATTATATTTGAAGTGCGCGGCCGGCGATGACATAGCACGTGAATTAGTTAACTTGTTGTCCATTTATTTTCGTTCGAATCCTTTAGGTTCACGAAGAATCTCTCTCCCAACAAAATCAGCGTGAAGTTTCTCAAAGGGGAAGGGGAACTTCATAATCTTGAGCTAGATGAAACAACTCTCTCCGAGCTTCTCGAGTTACCTCCATGGATTCGACTTACAAAAGCTGTGTGCAACAAAATTTCAGCGAAGGTAGGAAGTTGTTATGAGTGCTAAGCTTATTGTCATACAGTCAATATTAGGGTTCACTGACAAGTCTCCGTATGGCGCAGTCGTCTTGCTCGATGAACATGTTAAAGAGAAATCAGCCGAGAACTATAAAGATTTATGAGGTGAATAAAATTCACAAGCCTAGAGAGAAACTTGTATACGTGCCGGTACTACAAGATCATGGAAGACTTGTAAAAAAACTTACAAAGCTTCAGCTAAACTACCGATCTACAGTGTCTTATATCAGCTTCTATTGAGGGCGAGTTGCTAAAATGAAAGTAAACTTATATATTTTATTGTGTGTTGGATATCAAAGGAAAAGTTTTCGTTTGATTGGAATGAAGCTAAATTTCGTTGAATTGAATTATAATTTCAATGCGATTTTCATTTGTATGAATATTGATTCTTTCATTGTTGACTTATCTCTTTGTTATAAATCTATCGATTGGTACAAAATAAATTCGTTCCAAATGGATCAGGGCCAAACAATTTATTGAGAATTACAATTTGGACGAAAATATGAGTGGAAAGACGATCATAGAATAAAACCTAATTTGAGATGGAAATGAATTTTTGAAGAGCTAATTTCACAATAGTTGTCAATAAAAATACAAAATGAATGGTGCTACGTTTTGTCAACTTTTAGCCACTTACATTGCAAGTGCAAATTAAGGCGCAATACTTGTGAATTCTAAATGTTGTCATAGAAATGTTCCAGAACGGATAATTTTGCAAATCAGCCTCAAACATTGCATAACTGCTCAAAGTACAAATTGCATCAGTACATTATAGTTTTTTTTTTTCCAAGAAATTGAAATGTGATATATTAAATAAATGCTATTTTAAAAATTGAAATGTGTCCAGTAAATTTTTATAAAGATTGGATCACTGTTGGAACAGGAAATTGGCCCAGATAGTCTTGTTTTTAGTCTGAACTCTGCCCAAATTAGGATAAAATTAATAAAGAAATGTAATTACATGTAAAATTGCATTTTGTTTATATTTTTGATCCCACTAATGTTATCTGCCAACATACCTGCCAGTTTCAGGTCCTCATACTACATGTATGTGTCTGTCAGTTACTATTAGTGTACATCATGGCAGATGTCAGATTAGCTAATCCACCACATTAAATAGTTAACATGGTGGGGAAATATATTAAGCTATGTAGTCAACAGTGTTTGCCAGACCGTGCCATTACGGGAATCCCACATTGCAATCAGAGATGGCCCCCAGAAAAAACAAAAAAAGGGGCAATTTAACCCTTTCCTTTTACAAAGCTACAGGCTTAACATTGGCATAGTACATGTAATTTAAAAGCCATCCCTGCCAGCACTTGTAATTGCAACCAATACAGTCGCCAATGCAACTAACATTTCATCCTAGCTTGGCGACCAAAATTTCTGGTTTAGTTGTCATAATGGCGACTACATTTCTCTGTGTTGATGATCAATAACTGTTATTTTCTCAGACATTATGTCCTTCTAGAAAACCGTATTTTGAAAGATCTTTGCTTCTTAAACATTCAACCTAAGAAAAGAAGTCAATCCATCCTTTGCTTTGCTGTATTGATTCTCTCACTTCGGAAAACTTCCAAATGGCTGACTGTGTTTGAAATCGCCCTGTAATGTATTGCAAACCCTTAATGATTGACTATGTCATGTTTGCCTATGGATTGCTCTCTTAGCTTGTAGTGCACAGGTCCTTGAATCATATAGTATCTGGCGACCAAAAATTTGCATTTGGCGACTATTTTTCACCAATTATTATTTATTGGCCCCTTTCCTAAAAAATTGGCCCCTAAAAGGGTCTTCAGGGGCCACTTTGGCCCTCAAATAAAATTTTCTGGCTGAATCACGGAGTCAGTGAATCCAGTTTAACACACTCTTTGTCTCTCAAGTCTGCATATGAGCCAAATGGCACATTACAACACTTATCTTTGGTTGCAATAGCGTGAAAGGCTAGAAAGCTAGTTGCCCTAGAACCAGTGGCCCTCCTGGTGAAAACTTTAATGAAACACCTGGTTACCCCCAACATTAAATTACCAGTAGCCATTTACGTACATACACTGTACACCCGGGTGAAGAGAGGTAATCTGAGAGTCCTGTATTTTGCCTAAGAATACAACGCAGTGCCCAACACCAGGGCTTGAACTCGGACCATTTGGTCCGGAGTGCACTAACCCTGACGTCAGCGTGCCACCACAACATGATTTCTAATCAGAGTGAAAATCTAGACCATCATTACACCTACACTGTGTTTAACTGTAGACATCCAAATAAACATAGGTGGACATAGGTGATATGAAACATGGCCTAATTTGTGTCTAAAATGGCTAAATAAATGTACATGTATGTTTCTTTCATTTATAGATTCACTGGACACGGCTCAAAACAGATCCAATTTGCCTGGTATGTTCTATCTCACTGATTGTACTGTATATAAGTATGCACAATGTAAATTGTCAATGTTCAGCATGGTCACAAAGCTTTGAAGAAGTCAGCTTTATTGTTGTAGTGGGTGGATCAATACAAAGTAGAATGGACCATTTCTCCTCATTTGTATATCAAACCACTGAGAACTGCAACAATAGCTGTTTTAGCATTTACTAACAATAGAGAATGTGATGTTGATTTGCAGTACCTTGACCGTGTTGAGGTCAATATGGAGGCAATAGATGGAGATGTCAACACACCACCACCTGGCTCACCCCAGACACACCCACCTAACCCACCTCCTCAGCCTGCCAAGTAAGTTGGTCAGATCTAAAGTCAAACTGGTGTCGCACTTGGTAATACTCCTGGTCAGTTGGGCTTTACTGCACCCCCCTCCCCACCCCACCCCACCCCACTGCTACAGTTTAGGTCATGCTGCCATCCAGTGTTTGTTACATTAAGCTACGGTTGAACCTTCAGTTGCGACCACCACTCGCAAGCGACCACCCCTCCTCAGCGACCAGTTTTCAAAAATACCAAAAGTTTCCAAGTCATATCACTATATTTGGAGCCTCTTGTAAGCGACCTCTCGTAAGCATCTGAGACCACTTTTAGTGCTAAAAGTTTGAAATTTTCCTTTGTTTTTAACCTCCCATAAGTGACCACTTGACAGATAATAGAGCAAAAATTGGATAATAAGGTGTTGTAACATTATTGTGTTCCTGGCTTGTACAAGAAATGGAAATTTGTCAATGGGAAGAACCAGATTTTTTCTTGAAATTGAATTTTACATAAACAATACATTGCATTGCATTGGCATTGGTGCATGGGGTAAGTCTCGGCAGTTACCATTTGTATCTTCGACTTCCAAAACAAAGTTGGTTTGAATTACTCTTGTTGTATATCATGTAAGTTTCTTTTTGTTACATCTGGGTCTTTAGTGAAAAAAATTGCATTATGTGTCATTGAAAAATGTATTTAATTTTGCATTTTACAGGGAAAAAGCTCCTAATAGGTATGGTTTTGTTGAGAAAGTGGTTGATGGAATGTTCGTTCAGATAAACTCTGTGATCATTTCATTCAAGTTTCAAGCTTTTCTTGCCACGTTCCAGATGTCACGTCTTTTTATTCAAAGTACTACTCCTAAGTGGCAGCCAGATGACCTGCGCATGACGAGAGTGAAAGATGAGACAAGAGGAGAGGTGTTGACATTTAAAGAGATAACTTGGTCAACACTTAGGATAGATGCCAACGCTTTGTATGATGTAAGAAAATACAAATATGTGTACAGCTGTTTTGAGAAAGGTTATCCAAACAGTTGTGAATGCAATGCCCAAAGCTAGTCTGCAAAAGAATCAATCAATTTTAAGAAGTATTCTGAATCTACAATGCCTCAACCTCACTGTGAATAACTGCAATAGGGGCAATCCAGATGAAAGAATTTTTTTTTGACTCAATAAATGATATTAACAATGATAACACTCTGAACTTCAATCTGTGAACAATGTCGAACTATGATTTCTCCGTAGTAACTTTCAGCATTGTCACATGAAGGCATTTGTTTAACGTAACCTTTCTTGGGACAGCTGTGTGCAAACTGTGTTGAGATTTATACAATTGCTGTTAGCTTGTGAGGTCATCAAAATTAATACAGTGGAATCTCATTTTTGTTGTTTTCCATGGTTATAAAAAGAAACAGATTTATGAAAGGTTGAAAATTATTTCCAGGAAAAATCAACTGAACAGTCAGCTCCTCTACGTCTTATAACAAGCCACTCAGCCCTACACATTACAATCAAGAAACGTCTTGAAGACTGTGCAGTATTATCTGCAAGACTGGAACTTCTCTTAGATGATATTTTATGGGTCCTTACTCAGTCGCAGTTACAAGCATTAGCTGGTCTATTGCACTCTGTAACTCTGGCCATGTCACAGACAGTAGAGAAAAAAGGACCTCGGGCAAATCCTGGGCAGCCTGTAGGCCAGGCTACCCAGCAGCAAACTCATTATGCAGGATCTATGATACATGAACGAAAGTCTGAATATGAGTCCTTAAATGCACTCTTTACGCAACATGATGTGCGGGAAACATGTTATCACTTAAGGACAGGAAGTATTGACCTGCACTTGTGTGATGATTCGGAACAAAGTGTTGGTGATGGTGGAGCTATGCATTTGCAAATGAACAAGTTATCGGTTGATTATTATCCATATCACCTGGCTGGAACATCACGCACTGATTGGCCCTCTCACAACGAGGCCTCCTTGACACGTGCCTATTGGGTCAATCAGCTTTTGAACGCGTTTAGGAACTCGCAAAGTAACAAACAGTTATCACCTCAAAGAGCTTCACAGACTCATCATCGAGCCAGGAGTGATGTAAGTAATTAAATTTATCTGCCAGTCATTGATTTTCATGGCTTGATGCCCTTCCAGTCCCATTTCTATTTTTTTAATATCACTTCTGCAAATTTGGTGTTGCATCAAGACAATATCACCAGCAGTAGCTGATGATTTTCTTTATTCTCATCACCTGCTTGTTTGATAATGTCTTGGTATTGTGAAGAGAACTTTGACTTTGATCACACCTGGGATTTAATCATGTTGCTGATATCAAAATCATGCCAATAAACTTTTATTCTTTGCAATTTTTGTCCTGCCTGGATGAAGCTTGGCACGAATCCATTCAACCTTTAAGTTTTGGGAGTGTCTTTTTCAATCTGAACCATTCATTTGAAGAATGGAAATTTCAAATGATGAAAGAGATAAAGTTTTAATTCAGTAGTCATAGAGCAATTTTACTTCATTATTTTCTTTCAGAGTTCTCTTGTTGGTGTAAATGGCAAAGAAGGTTCATCACTTCCGTCTTCTCCACTTCACTCCACTCCCTCCTCCCCCCGCACGAATATCAGAAAGCCAAGTTCTTCACATACAAGCACACCTTCACGAGCTGCACAATCAGCGCATTCCATCAAGAGTAATCTTCAACGACCAGTGTTCATGCTTGAAAGTTGTTTTGTGGTTCGCTGCGAGGAATTCTTCATCATGCCTGTAACAACGAGTAACGTTGGTAAAGAGGAAACAGCATTTCTATCATCTGATAAAAAGGCATTGTACCTACCTTCTGACATGCCAGCATTTCAGCTGGACTTTACGCAGTATTACTATCCTGGGTCTATAGGATCTGCAGGTAATAGAGCAGTTGACTAGACTGTAACACACCTGGCCATCTTAATCATTGTTAGTCTTGTATTTCTAAGGAGTAGCCCTCCTCCAGGAACTCAACTGAGCATTTAAAGTAATTTTAAGGAAGTACAAAAGGTAACAAGTTTGTTGTGGGAGTGAAGGTCTATCAAGACTACAGGTGAATCAAAACTTAATGACAGTCCTAGCCTGACTGTGGTTTGTCAGGTAGTTGGTTCAGAGACGTTGGAAAAATCAAATCACCATGTATGTCTGACAAATGTTACTAAACTGTGAAACATTTGCTGGCATCCCATTCAAGCAGTACAAAAGTAGAGCCTCTTAAGCCCATCTAACTCACAGCTCTCAGCACTTAACTCCATTTCCTGAAGTATGAAGTGGCTGGGAGTATTGTTATTCTCCCTGGCCCCCCTCCCCTGGATGCTTTATCCATCGCAGGTTACTCTCCAGTATTCTGTCAGGCTACCTCAACATTTCTTGCTACCCATTTATACACATAGGTGGAGAGAGGCACTGTGTTTGTCAAGGGTCTTACTCAAGAAAACAACACAATGACCCTGGCCTGGCCTCAAGCATGGACCAGAGTCAAACACACTAACCTTTATGCTACTGCACCTCCCACGTAAATACAAAATAAATATGCTTGACAAATATTGCGACAGAAAATAAGAATATCAGTCTTAATCTGCATGTTTTATCAACAATTATTCCCTTTAATCAATGTCTACACATACATATATGTACATGTACATAGGCTGTGCATAACAAAGGCTAACAAAAAATGATATTCCATGATTTCAGTGCCTTGTCCAAACCTGTTTATCCAGTTGAACCCAATTCAGTTGACAGTGGACACTGCAACTTGTCTATGGTTCAACAAATTCATGCAAAGCATTCTTGGACAGAGAGTAAGTAGCACAGTCATATGCTAATAACACAGACACTGGACCACAGAGTACACAGCCACATGTAGACTTGTGTTATCTAGGTAAATTTAAGTGGCTGTTGCTCTAGAATTAGTTATTATTACAGTGCCATAATGTACCATGAGAAAGAGAGACTTACAATAATTGTAAGTAGAAACATTGGGTGTTTCAAAGAAAGCGTGAAAAAATAGGCTTAAATGGGATTTGAACCAACAACCTTTGCGCATCATTACAAAATGACTACCACAGAAGTCTAAAGATGCTGGAAGGTATGGACAGCTAGACCCATGGTTTATTTCATGCTTTCAAAGAATGAGCAATGCTAGTGGTTTATAGATCCAGTGGATAGTACCATTGATCCTTTGAACAACCAGGTCCTTGTGTAACCATGTGAACTATGGCACTTATTTTGTTTTGGCAAAGAGGACCATTATCATGTCAGTCTTCCAATGGGTTAACTTACAGTGTGTATGAAGATACGACTGATCATCGCAGTTATACACACAACTTAAGCAGTTGTGAAATGAAAGCCTGGAAAAAAAAATTCAAGTGAATATATGAAAGACCATATATTTTCACTGTCTGGGGGTATGTTATGAACTCACAATGTGAGCAGATCCCAGTTGGCTTGATAGCTCAGTTGGTTGAGCACTGCACCGGTATTGCAGAGGTCATGGGTTCGAATCCCGTTTAGGCCCGGATTTTTTTTTCAGGCTTTAATTTTAAAACTGCTTAAGTTGTGTGTATAACTGTGATGATCAATCATATCTTCATATTTTTCTCCGCAGTTCAAATGCATGGTCTTTCATATATTCACTTGTATTTTACAGTGTGTATATTGTTTGCTATGTGATAACACAGTTTTGTTTTCAGACATGGTCCATTGGTGCACCTCAACAATCTAATCCACCCTCAAGTCATATTGATATCAGAATTGAAGCCCTCATGCCAAAGGTAGGCTTATCTTTTGTAGCAAGGTTGTAATAATTACTAATTGGAAATCAACATTCGAAGGAAATTTAGTTTGAATTCTACTACTGCCATTAATCACTCTCAATTTCTGTAAGGTGACATTTGATTTGAAACCAAGTCCCCTCAGTTATAGCCTAAAATACAGATGTATTTCCTGACTGTCGCTTGGTTCTGCGGAACCAAGTGACAGCTAGAAATATGTCTGCATTCACAGCCTACCTCAGTTATCACCTCATGGAAATCTTGAGCTGGTAATCTTAGTGTAGCTTCTACAGTGCTATGTGTTCTTCATCTAATGCCTATGATTTTGGCCTGGTAGTAAATAAAGAGAAATTTAAACTAATTGATGAAGAAGGTCGCCTAGACCTACTTATGACCTTTCACCTTTTTTCAGATCATTATCCCTTGCCTAAGTGAACCTTGTGCAGCATACAAAGATTCTCGGCCCCAGGCCCTCCAGATCCAAATGTCTCAAGTGTTCATCACGAATTCAAGGACTGGTTACAAGTCCACCCAGACAGACATGTTAATGTTTCTTCATCCGTTCCTGGGCTCCAGGATATACACCGATTTTGAAAACTTCCCTTCCATATCGGGAGATGTCCAACCACTGCCAAACTCCTCGTGGGTGAATGATTGCAGTTTGTTGGCAAATTCTGCGAAGATTGATAAACATTTGAACGGTGTTTGTCAAGACACATTTGGAACGCATCAGCCATCACAGGTATTGTTTGTTTGTTTGCATTATTATTATTATTATTATTGTTATTATTATTATTGTTATTGTTATTGTTATTGTTATTATTATTTGTAGTTGGCATCACAATACGATGTTTAGACTACTTATAAAGTTTTTTATTAGGCTAATTTTTTGTCACATTTTCTGGAAGCTGAGCCATTATTTTGTTTTTCATCTTATGTCATTTATAACAAAGGATTAATACAGTCTTCTTATTATAGCTCGTAACTTAATAATATTTTCAATATTTTATTGTTTTGTAACTAATAAAATAAATAAAATTATCATTATTACAAATTTTATTATTGTTATTATTTTTTATAACGGTTCATTTATACTTTGCTACTATACAATACTGACGGTACATTACTTGCAATAGTCTTACACTACAACACTTACTAACAGTGGGCTACATACATTACTTACATTACATTGCTAGATAATACATAACTTACAATACATAAATAATTTCTTTTGTTTTTGGCGCTACAATCAAATACATCACCTGCTAGATAACACTGACAGTAGTTTACCTGCAATAGTTATTGTTTGTTATTTTTTAAAATGAGTTTTGTTTCATTATTTTTAATATTCTTTACAGGTGTGGTGTATCTCAGCTGAGCAGGTGTGGCTGGATTTCCTGGGTATCGAGGAGGTAAAGAAGCGCCCGATGCCTTTCATAGACGCTGTTCCCGTTCAGATATGGATTGCCACTCCTTTGCCAACCAATGGCGACAACAGCACAGGCATCCAGTCTGCAGTCAGAAGGACGCAAAGCGCCAGCAGGCTTCACTCACCACCCCTGCATCCTAGGTCGTCTTCAGAGCTCGTGTCACCAAAGAGAAAGGCTTCTGAACCAGTTTTAACTACAAAGAACAGGTCACATACGACCGCTCCTTCGCTTTTGTCTACAACCTCTAATGATTTATGCAATAGCGATCCCTCTATTAATCCCCACACTTCTGAGGCCCTCGCTAGAAGGAGCCTGGAAGATGGACCACCACCCGCTTATGAGCCCAGGAATGAACCACACAAGCCAGCCCCTGTTGTGAGGGAACTACCGCCAGCGTATGAGACATTGACCCATAATGGACCCAATTTACCAGGGGTGCCTTTGGAAGAAGCCCCTCCATTACCCAAGAAGGCTCCTATACCTGAGGACACGCTAAATGGCCTATCAGAGATAGAAGGACATGCAAATCAGGAGCTAAATTTAGAGTCAAGAGCTGATGTGAGCTTCCTAATCCACATCCCACAATGTGTCAGTGTTCAGTTGGACCACTTTCAATTCATCTTCCTGTTACGTCTACAGGAAATGTTGATCAAGCTACAAGAGGATTTAGAAAAGTGCAAAGCAACACAGAGTAACGATGTCTCTAGCGTGAATCAGCCAACAGACGATCAACCTGCTTTGTATTTTTCCATTCTTGCGCAAGGAGTAGACTTCAATATTGTGCTTCCACCAGCGCCGGACAGTGATGTGTCTCGTCTAGAGAGGCATCCGTCTCAAAACACAAGCCGTAACGCCAGCAGTCTGAGCAGTTATCTCGACACTGGTGGTGTGCTGGACAGCGGCTGTCAATCTCCGGAAGTTCTCGATTTTAAGACGCCATCAAGAACAGATTCAGAGGAGGCCCCGCGCAAAGATGGATCCGTGTCCTTTGAGAATCACAATCCTAAAGCTAGTCAAGAGCTCACTCCGTCATCACGTCCCAGCTCGGCTCAGTCGGTATCTCATACTTCAGGACGCGCCAGTGCTGCTTCAGCGCCTGATTCTGATGGCTGGCTGGTGGTTCCAGTCGGTGACAAATCCACAGCAGGCCTTGCTCAAAGTAGGACAGATAGCAATGCGAGTAACTTCAGCAGTCAGTTGGACGGCAGTAACCTGTCCAAAACTACCAGCAGTGACAAGGACTGCGAAAAGGAGCACAAAGAACGCAAAATGGTGTCGATTCTCTCTATCGGAGGAGAGGAAGTAGAGGTTGGAATTCATCTCCAAGGATTCGACAAAGTTGTGAAGATGATTTGCCCGGAGATTAAGTTAGAAGAGCTTGGTGTGATCAATTTTGAAAAATACCTCAACAAAAAATCCTTTAGAAGATCACTCACAAAGAGCACGGTCCCGGCTCAGGCGTCAGAGGGTGCTCCCATGGCGTGCATGCGTGCTGAATTCGGACCATCTGCAGAGAGAAATGAGCCGACAGCTGGTGAAAGGGGCTTCATGCATGTCAAAGTGAATGGGGTCAATGGCACTCTTCTCGTGAGTACTCTGAGTAGCCTGGCTGACTGCTTCGAGGACGAGGTGTTGATTCCTCCAATGCCATTCTTAGTAGAAGTGAACAATTCGCGCGTGAGCATCAATAATGATCTTCCACCAACCTTAGTGTCAGCGCCTCTGGCTATTCCAGTGGATCTAAGCGTCGAGAATATCTCCGTCCGCCGCACGCATGATGGCATGTTCCACATCAGACCACTGAGCGGCGATGACTCCCAGGGACGTGAGAATGAACAGGCAGCCATGCCAATGACGCGCCAGGAGTCCATCAATGCCAGTCAACTAAGCCTGTCTGATTCAGCCTCGGTGTGTTCCCGGGCCGAGAGTTTGGAGAATGAGAAACAGTGCCTGGTCGCCCAGATGGCTGTTTCCCGTGCTACTTTGCAGTCGCTGCAGGATGAGCGCGATGCATTGTTAAAGACAATTGAAAGGTTACAGCAGGAGTTGTCATTTTCAAACCGCGAACAGGACTTGTTGCAAGAGAGGATGACAACTTTTCAGAAAGGAGGAAGGAGGGGGTACAGATAGAACCTCGACAAAACTCGTCCTCTGATAGTTTATAACGTGTGTATCTCAGTGACGTCTACGTAGCTGACCAACCTAGTTACCAGGGTCTCTCTTCTTCCCGCCCCTCTCTCGCACCAGGAGGCGGGAAAAAGAGAGATCCTGGGAACCAGGTTGCGTAGCCGGCCTTGTTCCCAGATCTCCCCTCAAGCTCGGAGCAGGCCAAAGAGAGGCCCTGGGGGCCAATGTTGTCTAAACAACGAATATTAATTAGCAACACTATATTGCAATTTTAGTATCAAAAATTCGCACCAATAGCCCCTGGACACACAACGATCTTACAATCTGTTCAGCGCCAAAATCAATGTGTCATGGATGTGGGTGTCCATTCTTTCACGTAAATGACGATTTCAAATTTCCTTAGGAGTGATGAGTTGTTCATGAACAGTTTGAATCGTTGGACAAGACGTTTTTAGGTTGGCTGTGTGAAGAGAATTCCCAAATATTGGCTGGTAATATTGGACAGGGGTTAAGGGGTTTGCTGTGTTGAAATAGTTTTACTCGCCTGCCATCAGTATTTGCGACCACTGTGACGAGAAACTTTGGCTGGGCACTGTGAGTGTTACAGGCTCGGATAATTTACTCAGCGTTCTCGATTCGGTGCGGTATTCTGGAACGTACCGCCTGCGAAAAAGACAAAATGAAATGCCTATTAGCTATGTTAAATGTAAAAGCTATGTAGCTATTTTAATACCTGAGTGAAGAAAATAGTTTTCACAAGAGTGCATTAATGTAAAGCAAGTGAAAATTTCGCGCAGAGGTCATATATTATTGTTTTTTGTTTTTCTTAGCACAGTAGTTTGTAAGAGCAGGCGGCAAAATTTTAGTTGTAATTCATATCCAAATTACATAGAGCTATTTTTATTTCTGAAATTTGACGAAAACATTTCTCACAAAAAAGCGTGAAGGAAATCTATTTTTAACGTCGGATTTATTTTTACAGAAACAGCTATTATTGATGTTTCTTTCAGCCGGCTATATAGTAATATGACGATTAAGGTATTTAAAAAGTCTTAATAATTAAAAATTGTTATTCCCCTCTATCAAGATCCTCATTCCAATGTTTGCGTGACTTTGAAGAGTTAAGCGTTACTCTAGAAATCACGCAATCGTAACTACAAATTTATCGACTACCCGATCGAAAAAGCTGCGATTTCAGAGATAAATACCAACCTGGAAAATTAAGCCTTTTAAATTTATTTTGTTTCAGTAGAAAATTTGTAAAAATATTTAGGGATTACAAATTTAGTCAATCAATCTAGGAAAAATCTATGTACATAAGCTTACATGACATTGAGTAAGATGTGGATATTGCAAGTTTCAAGCAAATGTTTTTAGATATAATAAGTTAGGAGATAAGTTGTACCATATTTTATGGCAAAGTGTTTGAGATTTATAAATGTGATAAATATAATTAAAGGCTATGAGAGATCATGGATGGATTTGCTCTGCCTGACTCGCTCTTTCGGAGGAGGAGGCGTGGCCTAGTGGTTAGGGTGCTGGATTTGTAATCCGGGGGTCCCTGGTTCAAATCCTCCTCCCTGTCACTAGATGGAGTTGTGTTTGGTGGTCCCAGATTCAACTCCTCCACGCTTGTAAATAGCCAACTGGTTAGCCTCCCGCCAGTTGGGATTTTTAACAAGATTCTATTTAATTTACAATATTTGTTTGCTTATTTCAGTGTCCACAATTAGTACAGCAGTACTTACCACTTCGACTCTTAAATAAATTGATTGATTTATTATTTATTTTATTTATTTTCCTTAGTTATAGTCCGCCCGTCTTGGGTTCCTCTCCTTCTCGTGGGTTAATAATACAGTGGGACGCCATATATATGGTCACTAACGGGCCATGAAAATTTGACCGTATTAATATTAACGGAGTAGGGTGAAACCTCACGACTGGTCTAAATTGATTAACAGATATATCACAATTGCACTTCTTAACACGTGCTCTTTATTAAGCATCTGGAATGCAGATGTAATATAAAATTAAAAAATTGAAACTGGAATCAGTGTATGAAATATTAACAATGAAAAGATGAACAAAACTGGTTTGAGTGGCCGTGTAAACGGGCCGGGTTAAAATTATAAAGGATTTTACAGGTTCGAGATTTCAGAATTTGGCCGTATCAACGGGGTGGTCGCAAAAAGGGTTTTGTTATGAGAAAATGTATGGGCTTTTCGTCGTGATAAAAAAAGGGGCCGTAATAACAAGGTGACTGTATCAACGAGGTGACCGTCAGGCCGGTTTCCACTGTATTAACGTCAAGGAGAAGTTCGACCGACTGCCGACTGTCCGACTGACGACGAGGTAGAGCTTCTTTTGAGAATAACAAACAAACACAGTCACTAAAAGTACCGAATGTTGATTCGGGGTCCGTACATAAAAAAATACAATGAGATATTCAATTTTTATTGGAGCGATTCAAAGCAGAGATGGAGAAGGCAACAGAAGCTGTTTCAAAAAAAAAAAAACACGGTTACCTACGTTTACACGGCACATGAGACCGTATTGTTTTAGAAACGCTCCACAGCGTTTCCAAAAAGGTGCGGTTTTCATTAATTATTCCATTGTCATTTGAAAATGGAGCTTTTCGAAAACGATGTCGTCGCAAAAATCTGGTATTTCCCTGCTGGAGTTTTCCCAAAAACACAAATCCAAAATGACCGATATTATTGCGTTTTCAAATTTCTCCGGCGTAGGATCCTGCGAAAGAGATGGCGTAGTGTGAGCAGAAAACAATTGATACGTTTCAGAGTGCAAACGCCGTTTTCAAATTTCTCCGACGTAGTGTTGACGGCGGCCGGGCCTTACAGTTTTCCAGCTGCGGCGCTTAATCGGGGGCGCGAGCGAGCGTGAAAATGAAGTAAACGAACTTTCGTTTAAGGAACCACTTCCCCAGTTCCGTTCTCACAACCTGAAAACACATTTTTTCGGATGAAATAAGTTTCCTAAAGTGGTAATATGATTAAGGGAATTAAAATTAATCGACACCATTATGATTTGACATATCCCCCGCCAAAGTGGTTGAAATATAGAAGTTCTCAAATTATCTTAAAATGTGCTTTGACCAAATGAAGTGGCCTTTTTTAAGGAGTCCATCAGAAAATTTCAGAGAAATATTAGAACTTACACGCAAGCAAATAAAAATTACCAATTTGAAGAATATCTATTAGAAAAAGGGAGAAAAACACGGCCTGTTTGTGCCATGCTAGGCCAAGAGCCGGTGAGGCGGCAAACCAGAAGAAAAACTGGAGTACGTGCTTATATTGTCTGTCCACAGATGTTTATTTTTTTCTGTTAACAGTTATTTTTCTTCAAATGCACGGGCGATGTCTATCCCCAGCCCCACCCCCTTGCGTTTTAGGTCCCACGCGCCCGACTTGCGATCTCGACGAACTCAAGACAAAATATAGGGTCTGTGGACAGATTAGGGACACAAATAGATGAACACCATAACAGTGGAACCTTCCTTAAGCGACCACCCAAAATGTCATGCTTAGGTGGTCGCTTACGAGAGATGGTCGTTTACGAGAGCTTGGATCATATTGGGTTAAAATTTTGCCTCATTAGCATATCGTAATTTTAAGACATTTAAGGTTGTGTCTTTTAAGACTGAAAGGGTACAGTGTATGTGCATTTCTTCTTTAAATTTTTAAATGTTTTACTCATGTGAAAAGTCAATCCGGTACTTCCCATTGAGAAATTTCCTTCTCTTGCACTACCCAGAAATGTGATAATGTTACACCACCTTATTATCCAAGACGGTTTCGCTCCATTGTCTGTCTTAATGGTCGTTTACAGGAGGTTAAAAATAAAAGAAATTTTCGATCTTTAGCTCTAAAGTGGTCACGGTCGCTTACGAGAGGCGGTCGCTTACAAGAGGTTCCAAATATAGTGATATGACTTGGAAACTTTTGGTATTTTGGAAAACAGGTCGTTGAGTTGAAGAGGTGGTCGCAACCGGAGGTTCAACTGTATAAACAAGGTGCCGCGGTCTTGGATCTTCTCAGTGATGTTAGTGTTACCGTGCTGACTAGCGGAGGAATATCTTATCTTTTCTGACTGCACTATTCAAACATTAAGTGCTGGATTGTTTCCGAACTTTTTGAACTCAACAAACAAAACGTCTTCACAGAAACAAAATACATACCACTTACATGAACAACTTTCTGTGATTCCGCGTTATGGGCCAATAAACGTAAAATCAAGTTCTAAATTAAGCTTACTCAATTAAACTTATCTTACAATTATGTCTAAACTAATATGAGTCAGTGGTACCCCACAACATTATACTCCAGCTGGAGTTTGTCGCCGCAGACGCCTTGTGTGACTATAAAACATTTGCTTTGCGAAACTGACAAACGGCTAGAGACAATCTCGTTTTTGATACTTTTATTGAAATATAATCATAGTATTTCATATATAGGCTATTTGCAAGAGGTATGTCTGTTGCATTGGAGCTATGGAAATTTGTGACAACAAAACAAGCTGTAGAAACATTCTTGTTACATGTTTTCTTTGAGTCTCCCACGCTTTCACAAACATTTCCATTACTCTACAGAACAAAGGAAAGTATACACTCTAGCTCGTTTAAATCATTTTTAAGTTATGTTATGTCAAAGTGCACGGATCTATCCGTTGCTGTCTTCACGGCTCTTGGTGCAGAAGACAAGGCTGACGTAAAACAATACAGAACAAAAGGACAAAAAAACGAGGAAAACAATGAAAATAATTAATACAGGTTTATGAGGCGGCGCTCTGTTGTGACGTGCATGTGATGTGTCTTCTACTCCAAGAAGGAGACGGCTTCACCTCCTTCTGTGTTGTCCTTGAAATTCGCAGTGGGGTGCCGGACTGTTCCGATTAGTGAAACTATGTGATTTTCCATAATCGATCGGCTGTTTCAGACGTAGGTTGTCTAAGCCACTGAGAGATTCCTTCTGCCAAAACCATATACCTTTGTGGACAGCGCTTATCAACTCAGATCTGTGTAGAGGTTTATGTATTGCAGAGTGATACAATATACTTGTCATTTCTCTCAAAAGGTATTAAAAAAAAAAAAACGTTTTTGGAAACGTGCCTGTTTAAACGTAGTCCCATTTAGTTGGCGACGCCCCGCGGGTTTATGTTTCGTTATGCTTTGTTTCGGCTCAATTTCCAATTAAAAATGTTATTCTCTTCACGTAGGCATGCCTGCACCATTTCATTAGGTAGGTTTAAAGGAATACATAAGAAGATTTAAAACAAAGAAATAATTAAACATAAAGCAAGGTAAACAAATAAATAAATTTAAATTGGCAAATGAATATATATAAGAAATTAATTAAATAAATAAAAGCTCGTGTTGCACGCGAAAGACTAGACGCTTCTGTTTTTACTGTGTTTTTGAAAATCTATAATAGCTGTAGAGTTATGGGGTTACATCTCTCAAATTTATTTATAATAGCAAGTTTTAATGGATACGTCAACGATAAAAGCAATGTATTATTTTATTATTAAAGCGGTCTTTTATGCTAAAAAAAACAGGAATCACAATAGATCATGGCTTTTGAAAAGAACGAATTAAATTACAAGATAGAGTGTCGGTGCCAAGGAATAGACGGTGACAAAGCTAAGATGATAAATTTGGCTCGCTTCCTATCCATTATGCACACAGAGCGGACCTATGTTTATCTATCATCTGGCGCGAACCGTTGACCACAATATGGCGGGAACATGAACTTTCTTGACTTTATCAAGATTCCTAATCATGAGCTAATCATGCGCAGGCCGAGGTTTATTATTCAAACGCTTCTGGCGGCGAGTTCAGGGTGAAAGGAATCAAGTGATCTAAATTAGCTTTGTGAATACGAAAGCGAATCAATTAACTAAGCGACGGCACAAGGCAATCTTTGCTGACACCTTTCCAGCCTACCGATCACTCATTATTTTGTTTTTTCCGGGCTTTTGTTAGCTGGATTTCAGCCGCCTGGTTTAATAGAGTGACTGGAGAGCCATTGTGTGTGAAGAAGTCTGAGTACTGCAAGCCCACGATCTTTGGTAACGACAAACCGCGACAAACACACTTATTTTTGTGCTCGCTTTGCCGCTGCCGCTAAAAAAAAATATTATGTTACAGCTGGATATATTTGGCAGAACAGCTTGATGCTGTCAGAAGGGATTGAGCTTGAGATCGACTTTTGTACTTCTTCGATCTTCGCGTCAACCTTGGACGGATTAATAATGGTTATCTCAATGATCGTGTTGCAAACACAGACCAAACAATAGCAGTTTCCTAGGTCGTGTTAATGTTTTGGCAGATATTATTTATCAATTTCTCATCTGCTGTTTGGTCGGTTGCGTGCGTGACACTTCATCTTGTTTCTGGGCATCGGCTAAATATTGTTCGACGCCATCTGCTTATCATTCTCGTAAGCAGAGCACAGTTAAGATGTACGGCTTGCTTCTCGAGAACTTCCGCTGCGTTATATTAGAGAAATATGGCGAACCGGCTTGGAACAAAATTGTAGAGAAGTCTGGAACAGGACATCACACATTTGCCACGCATAAAATATACTCTGAAGATGTGATGGCTCGGCTTGTACAAGCAGCTTTGGAGGTGACGAACCATACTAGAGAAGAAATCACTGAAGACGTCGGACTTCATTTTCTGGGATTTATTGGCCAGTATGGCTACGACAGAATTTTAAAAGTCCTTGGCAGACACATGAGGGATTTTTTGAATGGTCTGGACAATCTTCACGAGTATTTGCGTTTCACCTACCCTAAGTTAAAAGCACCATCGTTTTTCTGTGACAATGAAACTGAGACTGGCCTGACATTGCACTACCGCTCGTCAAGAAAAGGCTTTCTCCACTACGTGATCGGTCAGATTAAAGCTGTCGGCCGATTCTTCTATCATCTTGAAGTGGATGTGAAGGTTTTGGAGTACAATGAAAACAACCACGGGAGTTACGCACTGTTTCAGTTGACCTTCGACAACAGCGTTTACATGGAGACCCGTCGACGGCCCAAACGGCATTCTGTTATCTCGCTCAACGGCGAAGCCGGGGACTTGAAGATACCGATGGATGTATTTTACGAAGTCTTTCCCTTTCATATTGTTTTCGATCGACAGATGGTGATTTCCAGCACTGGAAATAGTCTAGAGGCTGTGTTGCCAGACCTTCCTGGCAAAAAGATTGCTTCGCAGTTTACTTTGATTCGACCGTTCACGGAGTTTACATGGGAAAATGTAAGTCACTATTATTGTTAATACTATCTTATTTTGATTACTATGTAAAGTTTTTTTTGGTTAAATGTACTTTACCTGCTTTCATGTTAAGGTCATTTCAGCACCTTGGTCTGGCGGGTTTACCAGATTTTCACGATCAACATGGCCAATTTATTAGCCGGCATTACTTATTAGCTTATTACTCTTTATCCGTTTAATTGTTCGGTGTTGATAAAATCTATTTCCCAAGTTTGTTCTTCTCTTGGAACCAAATCTTGTTTTAAGCTCAAAATTATTGAAATTTTGAATTTAATTTTAAAAAAATTAAGAAAATAAACAGAAATAAAACTTGACAAATATTGATAAACATCCCCTCATACATAAACCATTATATTACCAGCTGCAAGTTTTTACTCAAATATATTCCCAGCATTCCAGATAAGTTTTCAAGGTAGGAATTTTAACGGGTCAATTCCCACTGTAATGCAATTCCCACTGCACCCACCAAATCATTAAAGCCGATACACATGAGGGGTTTTGCTCCTGGGTTTTGCTCCTGGGTTTTGCTCCAGGGGCACACTCTGGGAGCAAAGGTCGTCCGTGAGTACCAACGATTTCATGGGCGCAATTAATTATCAGAAGCAGAATTTCCACCCTACAAAATGCTCCACAATATTTAACCGATTAAATATTTGGGAGCAAGATCCTGGGGCAAATTGAACAAACTTGAAAACGCTCCCTCGTGTGTACCATAATATGGGGCAAGCTCCGACACTATGCTCCCCAATGTGTACCAGTCATGCAAATTGACTCTGGAGCATGCCCCTGGAGCAAATCCCCTGGTGTGTATTGGCCATTAGAAATTTTCTATTAAATTGTTGGGTCATATAGCTGATCTTGTCAGGTTTTTGACCTGAGACCCCTCACTTATCTGGCACGCTGTATTCTCTGGTTGGAAATAAGACAAGTGGCAAATGGTCCTCTTAAAGACACATGGTTCAATTAAACTAAAAATTGTGGAGGTGGTGGCTTGCATTCTGCCACAATTTCTTCAGTCCCCTCTATCTGAATTTTTTGGATAGACTCCTGATTCCTTTCTGAAGAGTCTATTCTTTATTTGGAATAGAGCAGATATTTTATGCTGAGGTGCAGTAGACTATAGTCAACTATCAAAGCCATATATCTGTTAGCAGACACCGCCCTATTCTAGGACATGATTGTCTTGCAGGGTGTGACTGAATTTCACTTGTTTTTCTGTAACTGAATTCTCTTTAAGTCCTTTAAGATGGACACTTATTTAGAGTGGCCAGCTAGCGCCACTTCCAACAGTGTTCAGACTTTAAGACAGTAACACAAACAAATTTGGACTTCCAAGACTTTCTTAGCCCTGCAAAAAAGCGAGACTGTGAGTTGCACATAACTGCTGAAAACAAAAAAAAAAAAACAAGACTACAATACCCATGAAATTTGATGAAAATTTTGCGAGACCCAATTGATTCTTGAAGGACCATTTACCACCTCTCAAATGGCTTCTGGGCTGGCCTTTACTTCTGTATTGTCCTTTTAATTTGTGCAAAGGCAAGATAATTAAAGGCTAGGTGAGTATCAACAAGTCATCTCAGAAGCAATCTCTCTGACATTCTTTTTCCACCATCACTTGTAACAATTTCTTTCAAGTATGTATTATGAACATAATTTTATGTCCAAAGGCAATTCTGCACAACATCATTATCAAACGTGATAAGGCAGTACTTGCTTAATCCAGTGTACCTTCATTAGGCTTGGCAGGCCAGGTTTGAAATGAGCTCCATTTGAAATTAATGTGCATTTTAGGAGCATGCCAAGCTGGCTTTAAGATAATAAGGTTCAAGACTTAAGTCACATTTAAAAACTTGTAGGAAAGCAGCTCTAACCAAATCTTGCTTGTTGTTATGTTAAGTCAGTCATCTGCAAGTGATATCTTTTATCCAAAACTTATCCAAAAATATGGATTATGGTTTGAATACTGTGATGTAGACACTACTGTTACATTTACCAAATAAATAGTAAATGTTGTTAAATCAGAAATAGTAAAAATTTATTTACAGAAGTCAAAATTTATACAATATTTCAATATTATTTATAAACTAACAGGATTTCATTTCAAATTTTATTGTTTATTCCATCTTCTTTGTTTCTGCCTAACTAATTAATGGATAAAATTAAAATCAAAGAACCTATTCTGTAACTTATTTTTGAAGGAACTTTGTCTTCTATTAAATATTTTGCATCAAAAATTATCCAAAGATGTAATTTTTGATTAAATTTATGAGATTGGTTTTATATCACTGAAACTGATACACCAAATATATTGCATCAACTTTTTAATTTGGTATTTTAAAATGTCTTTGTGGGGGTTGTGCTCTTGGTTGAAATTAATGCATGCACTTCCTAGTCCATTAAACAAAGTGAACTTTCTTCAATTAGTGCTCACTATCAAGCAAAAAGGTCTCATACTGTGGAAATGTTTTATTTCTTCTAGCAGAAAGTAAATGAGATAATGTCATTGACTATTCAGTTCTTTGAATTTGTAGGTACTCCCTGTCAACATGTGAGTGTCAATACAATTTAAACATGGCCTTATCACAACAGGAAGTAAACATAATGCAGATCTGCCAACTGAGTGTCGTTACTTAAGAACTTGATGGGTCAAAATTTAATGAAAAATGAGAAATTGATTTTAAATTTAGAAATGACTCAACTTTGTCATGCAAATGAGCTTTATTTATTATATATTTTTAACACTTTCCCCATAAATCCCTCCAATTTAACAGTAAGGTGTTAATAATACAATATATTTTTGTGATACCCACAAAATACCATATTGTCTTTAATACCTTCCTACCCGTTAAAAGATCACCCAGGGATACTATCATCCCAAGGATTCTAATCTGCAGCTTCCTTAATATGCTTCTTTCTTAAATTTATTTTATTTAGAAGCTGCAGTTAAGGTCATTCCTCACATCTGCATTGCGCATCCTTACTGCGCATAATTTATGGTGTCATTAGCGCGCGCTCGTGCATGCGCATATTGAAAACATGACGGATTTGCCTTGATATTGAGCTCTTTCAGTTGAAAAATGGCTCTAGCTCACCAACGAGCTNTTATAATAAACATTAAATAATGCCAAAATGGGGCATTTTCAATGCCTCACTGCTCCTTAATGAGCATGGGCAGCCCCCTTTTTTATTTCAAAATTGAATTTATCATATGACAAATATTCAGTGGACAAAGTTTGAACAAAAATCTATTGTCACTTTTATTTCAGAGGAATTACCTTAATTTCTTTTAGATGCAGTCGCTGTGTTCTGACACTACAAACTATAATTAAAAGTTGATAAGTAAACAAAAATAGGTATCATATTGTAAATTTATCCTCCTAAGACAAGACCCCCTAAGACAACTGGCAGTTTTTCCAAATCAACAAATTTAAAGACTCTGCCTTTGTATGATAGACTGTTTGAAAACCAGCAATCAGTTTATTTAAGAATTGACATCAGCAGCCATGAAGTAGGCAGTTATTTTAAGGGCAATTTTAATTCGAAAGTGAAAAACTTCAATAACATATCAGCTTTCAAATATCTCAAGTATATACCCTTGGACCATAATAGCTTATTTAGTACATCTCAGTGCCTTATGCACCACTTTGGCATGGAGGTGAAGTGTATTGCTTGATGTAAAACAAGTCTTGCATTCCCTGTGCATCTCGAAAAAGAAATTGAATACTTGTGGGTGGTCAACCATGTCTTAGATAAGAGGGGGTCACAATTTTTTTACTTTGATGAGCAGATCTTAACAAGACAATGTTAATGACAAAAAGTCATAGAAATCTATCAAATATTCACAAAGTTATCATGATGCTGTGGGCTGGGTTTTGCTAGTGCATAAACACAGGTATGAACAACAGCACATGCAGACACGGCAAAGTGCTGCTAAGCAGTGCCTTTTGTTAGGAAATTGTCCCAACAAAAGGTACTAATTACCATTACCATTACTGTGTCTGCGTATATAGTTTGTCTGTGTCCATCTTTAAAAATAGACTCAAAACGTTTCTTTTTTAGAAAAGCCTTTTTGCAATTTATTTTAGACTAATTTTTTCAATTTTTAGATAGTTATTTAGCTTTTCTCTGATATTGCAAAGCACCTTTGAACTTTAGGATACTGACACTATATGAATCTATCAACCAGCCTTCAGGGGGTAAAGAGTCAAGCCTAACATAACAATCAGTCATTACCTGTATGTAGTAGTAGTAGCAGCAGCAGTAGCAGTAGCAGCAGCAGCAGCAGCAGCAGCAGCAGCACAGCAGCAGTAGTAGTATACTTTATTTACCCTCGGATTGTAGAGTAGCTTTAACAGCTAATGTCTCTGAGCATTTCAACGGTACAATGGGCAAACACCAGACCACAACACCGGGAACTTCGTGCCGTGCTCTTTACGATGAGTGTGTGGGTTCTTTAACGTCCCCTGCTGACCATAACAGTGAAGATGCAGGAGACAGGGCCTATGGTTTATCGTCCTTATCCGAGAAGACTAGAATATCTAACCATTTGCAGATGTCATTGCATGGTTACAGATATTGCATTTTCAAAATAAAGCATTGCGCAAATTTAGAGATATTTATTTGTAAGTGCACCTCTTTGTAATGGATACTCCATGTTTTATCCTGGGGGGGAGGGGGATGGGAGACTGCCACATTAAAAGGACAAGGGTGCTCATCATACCTGTCAAGAGTTTAAATGCAGTTCTGTTCTCAAAACGTCCATAGCAGGAGCTTTTGCTGTGCCTTTTGGAGTATTAGCCAAAAAACTATAACAGGAGATAATCTGTTGTTTTTGAATTGGTACCTCTTAGGGGTGAAAAACATTTCAAGCCACACCCACAAAAAGAGGATCTTGGTACCTCTTAGGGGTTCTTTTCAAAATTTTCAACAAGCACCCCTATCCTTTTTATATGGGGGTTGAACCCCCCCCCCCCCTTCCAGGTTTTAACAGGTATGGTTCCACTGAAGAGCTGTCTTCTGTAGACTTCAAAGTATTTGGCTGGATGTATGAACATACAATGACACTGATAAAGTAAACACGGCAAAGATACATGTAAGGTTAAACTGAAAATCGAAACACCTTGTATTCAAAGAGCTGGCTTAAAACTCTTAATAGAACCAGTTATAATGAACTGTTAACTAATTAAAAGTATGTTGTGGAGCTTGAACTGTTTCATATCTTCCAAAATTCCTCATGTGATGAAGATATCACCATCTTATTATTGTAATTACAGGTGACGACTCACACCAATGTGGCATTTGAATTACTGTCAATTGAGGCCGTGGTACAAAACAACAATCCTGCCATCCTGAATCTTCAAAATGGAGAGGCGATGGTGAATGGAAAGAAACAGGAAAGTGCTGATGAAGACTCTGGCTGTCACATCCATCTCAAGGGACAGATGTTGTTTATGGATGAGTGGCAATCAATGGTCTACCTTGCAACTCCTATGTAAGTTGTTCAATAAGGTGACTCATTTTTTTCTCCAGCTCAGCAGTTTGAAATCTTAAATCCTTGAATCTGACTGGCTAATTACATGTGCTCCAGCAGTTGGGATTCTCCCCTAGATTTATACCCCAAGTATAGACTGCTCCAAAACTTCTAACTTTGGCAACTACTCAAGCTTTTTGTTACACCGTAAAACAATGCAAATTGTAAACATTCAACATAGAGTCAAACAATTATAATGCAAACAGTATCACTTTTTGTGCCAGAAATGTCAAATGCATTCATACGCCAGATTTGAACTGAAGGCTTTAGTTGAAATTCAACACAAAAGTTGCTTTAAAGTAATACTGTCAGGAAAATATAAACATGTTCATTTCTGGCCTTATTCAGTCCATATTGGGAAAAGACTGTGCCCTTGGTCTTGTGTATGGCTCTTGGCCTGCAGCCTCGGACTGTACTCAAGACCTCAGGCACAGTTTTTCCCAATTCAGATCTCCCGGCTGGCAAATATCGTTTACTTATTGATATTCAACTGCTCAGGATGGTAATGTGAACATCAACATTAAGACATAAGGTTTGGTGAAAAATGGGGGAAGAAGGACTTTAAAATGCATATGCGATAATTTTAGTTTCTTTTTCTTCAATGATGGATGCCGTCGTTGAAGAAAACAAAAGGATGAAATGCTAGAAGAAAAGAGTGGGTGGGTCCAATCTTTCAACAAGAAGCGAGGAGAGCACACAGCCAGTACCACAATCTTGTCAGAGACCTTAGTTTGGGTAATTGATTGGCTCTGATTGGTTCTTTGTTAAGCTGTGATATTGTTCAAATTTGTTTTAACAGAGACATGACATAACCACATAACGGAAAGATCAGTTTTATCCATATGTCGCTTTATACGTGTACATTGTATGTTCATGCTGTTATGTTGCTAATATGTCATTATGCCAGCATGTTCACACTGTAAACACAACAACACATTTTTACATGTAATTAGTTTCCCAAAAGTAGCAACCCCAAAATTAGCGACCAGAGATAGGAAAAAGAATATCAATTAAAATTTAATCCAAAAGTTTATGGGTGTTTCAGAACTTTATGACCCGTGCATGTAATCACACAGTCAAGTTTATTTTGGTTACTGTCCTGTGTTTTTTTTCAAATTTCAGCATTGAGAAGTTGGATGTGATGTGCTGCATGGGTTTATATATCAATGACTTGAGCATGCATGATTCAAGTAGAGACCTTGTGTTAGCTGGGACACAGCAGTCGGCAGAACTGAGACTGGCTCTTGATCAGGTAAGATGTTAGACACTTGAATGACACTTGAGCCTCCTAGGTTTGTTGTTAGTAACACAATGGTAGAAATTGGTGCTATTTTGGAGAAAAGTGTTGTGATTGAGGTGCAAGATATATTAATAGTAATATTGTTACTGACCATTACTGTTCTTCTGTTTATTTAGCATACATGTAATCTGTGAGACTCACTAATTTTCTTTAATGTTGAACATCAATTCCAGTGCTGATTGAAATACTCTGTACAGTGTAATTGCAGTTAGATTATTTTACATTTATAGCATAGACAAAAATTATTATTAAAAACAAGAATTAGTGGCTCAATACTGCTTGGTCAAATATATGCCATCCTTAAGGTTGCTAGTTTACAACTAATGCATGAATAATTTACTGTAGTATTTTGAAAACTCTCTTATTGTCCAGTGATATTTCATTAAACTTGGTTGGAAGTTTCAGTGGACTGATATGTTATAGATGTAAATGTATCTCTCATAGCTAAAGAAATCATTACCGATCTTTAATAATTAAATTTACAGTGCGTTAACTGAAACTTGGGCCACCCAGACAATGAAAACCAATCATATGGCAGAACCAAAACAACAGATTCCAAAATTTTCAAATCCAGCCAATCAGATATCTGGTTTGAAACAATGAAATCTCAACTTATTCGTTGTGATGCTTACGCAACTGCGGTGTCTGTTAATAAATTGTCAAGCTCAAGCCGTTAGAACTTTTGCGTTAGAAAATATTGTGTTACTTTACTCCAAATTTTACATTGACAAGCATGGTAAACTCATTACATTGACCGTTTTCCACTCATACGGCCTCACTTTTATGGTTGTTGTTTAAAATTGTAGAATAAAAAATAGATTTTGACATTTTTTTTTACAAAATAGATTCCTGTTGTCTGTGCGTGTTTGTATTTTTACAAGGCTTTCGGTTATCCACCACACAGTTCTCAGAAAAACCATCATGTTCACTGTCTCAGCAGCTGTGCATTTCAGAGTTTGAGTTCCCTTTCTGGGTTATCAGTGTATTGAAATAACATCTTCATGGAAAATTCAAACCAATTTTCTTCCGTGTTGTACTATCAAAGCCTCAGCGTGTAAAATTACTCACTCAAAAAGAAAAGACGATAGCGCCATGCATAGGAACCTCCCGTGGATGGAAAAACCAAAGATATTTCTAACAAACAATTCAGGTTACAAGTCCATTTTTGTATCCAGTTAACTTTTCATTTCTTCTGCTTGAAGTTTGCTTTCAGCTTCTCTCAGTTACTTCAAAAACAATCCCTTTCCAATTCGTACATATCGAGCCTGTGCACATGCGAAACTACTCGGAGACCATTTGAAGGGTTTCTTTTGTACAGCCGCGACAATATTCAAACCCTACACCACTCACTCTGCTGGCGATATATAATTATGGTGACACTCTTACGCAGCTTTTCTTGTCATGTATTTTCTAACCAACCAATGACCCCATAGAAAATGCAGCATATAATTTCTCTTAAACCCACAAGCATGGTCACAAGCACGTGAAACCACTAACGGCTTGAGCTTGACAATTTATTAAGTGACACCGTAATCGCGTTAGCATCTAAGCGAATTAGTTGAGATTTCATTGTTTTGTACCAGACATTTGATTGGCTGGATTTGAAAATGTTGGAATCTATTGTCTCAGTTCTCCCATCTGATTGGTTTTCATTGTCTGGGTGGCCCCGGTTTCAGTAAATGCACTGTAATAGTTGCCTAATGTTGGAACAAAGATTGCTGTTTGATAACTGTGGGCATACAGACAGACTGACTGACTGTCTGACTGTCTGACTGACTGACTGTTTGAAAGACTGACTGATTGACTGATGGATGGGCTGACTGACTAATGGATAGACTGAGAGACAGACTGACTGACTGACTGACTGACTGATGGACTGATGGATGGGCTGACTAACTGCCTCAATCACTCACTCACTGACCAACAAACTGACAGACTGACAGACCAACAAGCTGACAACCTGTCTTACTTATGTCCTGTTTCCTTACTAATTAGGGGTATTTGTACTCAATCCTGGATGGTCTGCTGGTTACCTACAGTATATAATTTACCGCAGACCTTGAATTAAGTGGTATCCATTTATAAATCCAGGTGGAGAGAGACACTATGAAAGTCAAGTGTCTTGCCAACCAATTACATCACTGCTACTCCCACTAGAGGGAGGACAAGAGGCAATTATTCCCCAGAGGAAAATTAATTTGAATTTGCAAAGGATAAGTGCAATTAGTAGAGGACATGTTAAACATCTTAATTCATGGCAAAAGTAGCATTAGAAGAACCCTGTAAGGATTACTTCTCAGTAAATAATTATGTTATGTTATGATTATTACATAGGAATTGGTCAAAAGTGCTAAACTTGAGGAAAGTATGAAGGAGCTGGATATTGAGAAGAGACGCACAGATTCATTGCTGTATCAAATGATCCCAAGATCTGTGGCTGATCGTCTGAGGCAGGGTGAACCAGCTCTTAATACTTGTGAGGTATTTTAAACTTTTTAAATCTCTGGCTTGTTGTACAGTTAGGTATAGATGTTGAAATATGACCATTTTGCTAAAACTTACCATTCCTAACTATTTTAAGCAATGGCACTAGCTATGCAACAGTAATTTAAATTGAAGTGATGGAGATTTCACAGAGTTCTCAGTACAGCTGTAAAATATCCCCCAACTCGCATTTTGTTAATTAACTTGACAATTTGTTAATCTTCAATATAGCAAGGGTTACATGGAGTATCTACATGTACTGTACAGTAGTTTTTGCTTTCTAAATGTGTATTCTCTGCCATCTTCTTTGCCTCATCCCAAGACATGTCTGTCTTACAAAGGTCCCTCTGCAAACCATGATGTCAATCATTCCTAGTTTGGCCTTAGCTTCGATCTTTTCTTCCCTGGTATATAGGTCCTGTGCCCTCTTACCTTTGCTGCCACCATCACATGCTCCTTGACTAATCTTGGATTTAGAAATAAAATGCTAAGTCAGTGCATATAAAGGATACCCTACCCCAAGCCCTACCCACCCCCTCCCCCCTTGTGACTGAGGCAAGGCCCATGGATAAATTCTCTTCCTCAGTATTTAGGGTGTCTATGACGACTACATTTAAACAAAACACTGGGATCAACACTGGGACTGAGTCAAGTACCTCAGTATTCCTGTTACTAGCTCCCCCCCCCCCCCGCCAGGGGGTACTCCCTTATATGGGCTATATAGGTATGTGCGGCCCCAAAGGGTATGCTTTTTCAGCCGTTTTTGTCATAAAGAGGATATCGATTTTAGCTGATTTTGGTCATAAGTAGGGTATGGTTTTTGCACTCTAGCCTTGTTATGGGTATGTTTTTAAGAAGAAGCCACTTTTCCATCATTATCAAAAAGAAAATCAACAAAAGCCCTTCACAAATTATGTTAACAGTAATTTAACATTGGTCTGTACTAGGGACTAAATATCACGCAGGTCTGAAACAGGGTTTTGATTTAAGGGTCAGGTCATAAATAGGGTTTCGAATTTTTGGTCAGGTCATAAAAAGGGTAAGGAATATCGCAGATTTTGGTCATAAATAGGGTAAGGGTTTTGGGAAACGGGTTGCACACACCCACCCAATTTTTCTGGGAGTACCCCTCCTGGGCTTCATCCCTGCACCCCTGCCCTCTCAGTGCTAGATATAAGGGGTTGTGTACATATTGTATGACGATTTGTCCATGAGTATACACCCTTTCAGTTTTAAATTAAATGTGTACCTGCGGCTGTTGTTTCAGATGTTCCATGATGTGTCTGTTCTGTTCAGTGATGTAGTGGGATTCACGCACATTTGTTCTCTGATAAGCCCCATGGAAGTAGTTACCATGTTGAATAACATGTACACAGTCTTTGATCAGATCAGCGAGCAACACAATGTCTACAAGGTAAGTGCTTCAAATGGTTTCAGGACCAAACATGCCAAGCAAACAGTACATACATGACTTGTACATGTAGCTTATGTACAGTAGTTTGTAATAAATAATGGTAATTGAACTGAATGGAGTGCAATTTGGTCTGAAATCATAGGTGTGATTTCAAAATCGAACGAGCGTGCAGCGCGAGTTTGATTTGAAATCACAAGTATGATTTCACACCAAAATTGCACGACGCGAAGTTCAATTGCCACTTTACTACATCCATTTTGAAATCGCACAATTTTATCACCTTAAATTTAGATTTTTGGTGTACTGTTTCAGTAGCCGGTTTGTTAAAAAAAAAGCGGAACTGGAAACGCCTTTACGTCTCATTTAGTATGCAAAATGATGTCATGTGACGAAAACTTATTCGAGCATGACAAAGAAACAAGCAGTTCTGAAGTCAGAATGAAAATAGTGTACTTCAGGGATAAAAGTTCAATTCTCGTCGCCTGAATCAATTATGGAAGGCCTTCCTTTCTTCTGTGGTTGAGGTTGGGATTTTTCATTGTCTTTGGAGAAGGAATTTAGAGGTGCATATCCTGTGTAATCCTGCGATCGATTTCTTTTGAGTTGTGAAACTCCCTCGAGTGCACGATGCCCAGTGGATAGTACGTTTTTAACCGCGCGGCCATGGGCCGAGCGGGGTTCTAGGTTTACCTGGGGTTTATTTATTTATTTTTTTTGTCAGTGACCAGACTCAAGCTCCCTCTCGGCCAAATTTTGAGTCACGCAATGTGTGAAGTTTTTCTGCCAGAAGCTGTAAAAACATAAATACACGGACAATTCTAGGGATATTGTTTTCTTTTTTGTATATTTTCTTTTCGTTTTATCGAAGCGTTGGATTCAAAGGGACTAATAAATACGCTAAAAAAAGGTATTACGTCAGCCATGGAATGCGTTGACGTTG